GTTACTGATCATAAAGTAGCTGTTAACCAGCAGTGTGAGTTGTGTGTTGTTAGTTTTTTATTGGTTATAAAGCAGCTGTTTAACCAACAGTGTGTGTTGTTAGTTCTGTTACTGATCATAAAGTAGCTGTAACCAACAGTGTGAGTTGTGTGTTGTTAGTTTTGTTATTGGTCATAAAGCAGCTGTTTAACCAACAGTGTGAGTTGTGTGTTGTTAGTTCTGTTACTGATCATAAAGTAGTTGTAAACCAGCAGTGTGAGTTGTGTGTTGTTAGTTCTGTTACTGATCATAAAGTAGCTGTAAACCAGCAGTGTGAGTTGTGTGTTGTTAGTTTTGTTATTAGTCATAAAGTAGCTGTAAACCAGCAGTGTGAGTTGTGTGTTGTTAGTTCTGTTACTGGTCATAAAGCAGCTGTTGTAACCAGCAGTATGAGTTGTGTGTTAGTTTTGTTATTGGTCATAAAGCAGCTGTTGTAATCAGCAGTGTGCGTTGTGTGTTAGTTTTGTTATTGGTCATAAAGCAGCTGTTGTAACCAGCAGTGTGTGTCGTGTGTTAGTTTTGTTATTGGTCGTAAAGCAGCTGTTGTAACCAGCAGTGTGTGTCGTGTGTTAGTTTTGTTATTGGTCATAAAGCAGCTGTTGTAACCAGCAGTGTGTGTTGTTAGTTTTGTTATTGGTCATAAAGCAGCTGTTGTAATCAGCAGTGTGTGTTGTGTGTTGTTAGTTTTGTTATTAGTCATAAAGCAGCTGTTGTAACCAGCAGTGTGTGTTGTTAGTTTTGTTATTGGTCATAAAGCAGCTGTTGTAACCAGCAGTGTGTGTGTTGTTAGTTTTGTTATTGGTCGTAAAGCAGCTGTTGTAACCAGCAGTGTGTGTTGTTAGTTTTGTTATTGGTCATAAAGCAGCTGTTGTAACCAGCAGTGTGTGTCGTGTGTTAGTTTTGTTATTGGTCATAAAGCAGCTGTTGTAGCCAGCAGTGTGTGTTGTTAGTTTTGTTATTAGTCATAAAGCAGCTGTTGTAACCATCAGTGTGTGTTGTTAGTTTTGTTATTAGTCATAAAGCAGCTGTTGTAACCAGCAGTGTGTGTTGTTAGTTTTGTTATTGGTCATAAAGCATTAACTTACCAAAAAGTATAGAACTTGTGTTATCTTTGACGGTTTTTTAGGCCATTCATAAAAGAAGATTTACTTTCTAAGATATAGGTGGAGTTGGAATGAAATAAACTTTTTTTAAACTAATCTCTCTTTTCTGTATATATACCCAAACATATACAATGTTCATAATCTCAATACATAGTTTTCTCTCTGTGTCTAGTAACATTACATTTAGCATATAAATAATTCTCTGGATTGTAAATTATAAACATATTTAATATTTCATGTAATTATACCTACAAAATTACCTTTATGTGTTGTGTGTACATACTTATGTTATCTGTTACTGTATTTTGTGTGTTGTGTATACATACTTATGTTATCTGTTACTGTATTTTGTGTGTTGTGTGTACATACTTATGTTATCTGTTACTGTGTGTTGCGTGTACACACTTAGGTTATCTGTTACTGTATTTTGTGTGTTGTGTGTACATACTTAGGTTATCTGTTACTGTATTTTGTGTGTTGTGTGTACATACTTATGTTATCTGTTACTGTATTTTATGTGTTGTGTGTACATACTTATGTTATCTGTTACTGTATTTTATGTGTTGTGTGTACATACTTATGTTATCTGTTACTGTATTTTATGTGTTGCGTGTACACACTTAGGTTATCTGTTACTGTATTTTGTGTGTTGTGTGTACATACTTATGTTATCTGTTACTGTATTTTATGTGTTGTGTTTACATACTTATGTTATCTGTTACTGTGTGTTGCGTGTACACACTTAGGTTATCTGTTACTGTATTTTGTGTGTTGTGTGTACATACTTATGTTATCTGTTACTGTATTTTGTGTGTTGTGTGTACATACTTATGTTATCTGTTACTGTGTGTTGTGTGTACATACTTATGTTATCTGTTACTGTATTTTGTGTGTTGTGTGTACATACTTATGTTATCTGTTACTGTATTTTGTGTGTTGTGTGTACATACTTATGTTATCTGTTACTGTATTTTATGTGTTGTGTTTACATACTTATGTTATCTGTTACTGTATTTTATGTGTTGTGTGTACATACTTATGTTATCTCTTACTGTATTTTGTATAACACGTTATAAATTGTTACAAAGACAGTGTTTATGGTGAACTTTCAGATATCTGTGTATCAAGTTGTGACCTCCACCTTGATTTAGTTGTACTCCATACACAGTATTATCCATGTTGTGCTGGTTTATGGTAGATTGTATAATCTCTCTATGTTTTCAACTGTTCACTATACTTCAAGAATAGACGACATTAATTGTTCTTCACACCACACAAGTTGTAAATTATATACACATTTATTGTACTTATTTTATGAGTAGGTTTCTGAAGTGCTTACTGTATAATAAAACTTTTATATTGTGTATTAGAGATGAAAAAATAAAGATAATATTCTAGTCTGCACTTTGTGATGTGATATAGATAAGCTACTAATCATTAACACAGTTATATTAATTATTATGTTGAATTATTCACAGACTTTTCTCTACATTAAAATAAGTTTATTTGAAGATTTTCTGCCATCTTACCGAAGCCGTCATCGGGCCGAAAGTTCACAACTAAAAGTATTTTAACATAAAGAAAAGTTCATTTACTTATGTTATGAGTCTTCAGAAAACAAATATTAATTACTTTTTTTACTAAATTCTTTTAAACTTCTTATTTCTGTTAATTTTGTTTTAAGAAGATATTTTCTGGAAAGAGCATTTAAAACTTTTTACCTTTACATAGGTAAATGTATGACGTATTAAGTGTTTAATATCTGATATTTGTAAAATGTAGTTTTAGAAAACATGAGTTGTCAGGGAAATACAGTAGGAGGCAAGTTTCAGGAGTTGAGGAGAATCATCGATAAAGTAAAAGATAAATCCAGAGTTGGAATCTGTCTTGATACCTGTCACGCTTTTGCTGCAGGTAGGTTTGTTACCTCTTTCATATAGTTCCTGTGTGGTTATTGAAACGATATTTATTTACAATATGTCATAATCTCTAAAAACACATTTGTTTTATTACCAGTAATGTGTATGAAATTCTTTACATATCAAAATGAAACATTAACAAGACTAGATCAGTTGTAATGTCTGACTATCATGTGGATAGTAATTTCCTTTATCCTGCACATTAACTGAATGTTCACAGGCTTGCTCCATTGGATGATTTAAAAAACATTTTTTATATGAAGCCATGATTTTTATGCTGAGTATGATATAGATTTATCTGAAAGTGATCCCATAAAATATGAGTCTAGTAACTAATCAGGTGATGCAAATCATGTGTCTTCCAGCACATACAATGAGTTTGATGCCAGTTTTAAGATCCTCTGTACACTTTGAAGCATGGTCTAAACAAACTGGTCAGTTCTTCAACCATGTTGTCCTTGTATTCAGTGTTAGTTGAAGCATGGTCTAAACAAACTGGTCAAGTCTTTAACCATGTTGTCCTTATATTCAGTGTTAGTTGAAGCATGGTCTAAACAAACTGGTCAAATCTTTAATCATGTTGTCCTTATATTCTGTATTAGTTAAAGCATGGTCTAAACAAACTGGTCAGTTCTTCAACCATGTTGTCCTTATATTCAGTATTAGTTGAAGCATGGTCTAAACAAACTGGTCAGTTCTTCAACCATGTTGTCCTTATATTCAGTATTAGTTGAAGCATGGTCTAAACAAACTTGTCAGCCCTTTAACCATGTTGTCCTTATATTCAGTATTAGTTGAAGCATGGTCTAAACAAACTGGTCAGATCTTTAATCATGTTGTCCTTATATTCAGTATTAGTTGAAGCATGGTCTAAACAAACTGGTCAGTTCTTCAACCATGTTGTTCTTATATTCAGTGTTAATTGAAGCATGGTCTAAACAAACTGGTCAGTTCTTCAACCATGTTGTCCTTATATTCAGTGTTAGTTGAAGCATGGTCTAAACAAACTGGTCAGTTCTTCAACCATGTTGTATTCATTATTTTTGCCAGGATTTGATCTGTCCCAGCCTGAGGGATTTCAGAAGATGATGAAAGACTTTGAGAACATTATTGGTCTGGAGTATTTAAAAGCTATTCATCTGAACGATTCAGCAGGTATGAGTAGGTTATAAATAGCAGTCTTTTCACAAGATTCATTACATCCAAAGTGATTTTGATTTGGAATTTATTATGCCAGAAATGGTAAGTTTTTTTTCCATATTTTATAAAGTAACTGCCAAGACATTAAAACACGACATTCGTTCAGTATTTAAATCTGTTAGTGTATCATTACCACAAGTGCTTGTTATAATACTCCAAGAAATATATCTACAATCATACAAATTTGATGTAGCAGACTACTGAATCTGAAATGCCAGTGATGTGATCTTTCTTTATAAACGCTATAATTATCAAGTTTATTTTTTAACTGTAATCGTATCAGAAGCTTGCTATTATACCAAAGTACAAGGTTGAGAGAGAGAGAGGGATTTACTTTCTAAGAGTGGAATATAAATAAGATTTACTGCTTAGCAATGAATGTTTTGGTATCAATTTAAGATCTTGGCAAGAAAATGTTTACTGTAGGTTTGGCCAGGAAGATATAAAGTTACATTTGACACTAAAGTAACAGTTACTTCAACTTATAAAAGTGTGTTATTTTTGAAAATGGTAGATTGTATTTTAATCAGGACAATACCTAAAGCTCCGTTTCCTATAGGAAAACTAGGGTGCCACTTGGATCGACATGAAAATATTGGAAAAGGAAACATTGGCATAGAAGGATTTCGACACATCATGAATGATCCACGGCTTAACAATATACCCATGATCCTTGAAACACCCGCAAATGTGAGTGATGAAAAGGAGATCAAAACACTTTATCAGCTCTGTAAATAGTGAAGAAAGTATTCCTTTCTTTGACATTTCGGAGAGCAATATTCATTATAGACTTGCCATCAAAAGTTGTGTTGTGTTTTTAAACTCTACTATCAGCAAACAAACATTTGTTTTTCCACCCACTACTGTTCACTTTTGGATGTCATGTAAAGTAATTCTGGTTTTATTTTTAAATTGCTAATATTATATTATCATTGTTTACTTTCTGAAGTTGTCCAGAGATTTTGTTTGTGTTACCAGTAATAAAGAAGAACAAGTTATAAGAAGTATTACTGAAAGGTTTGTGTTTTTTATTTCAAAGAATACACGTCAAATGTTTGATGAGTAAAATAGGCTTGGCAATGTTATTTAGATGACTTCAGAGTTTTGGAAAACTCCAGATAAGAATAGCACCATCATTACTTACTGTAACAATATACTGGTCAGTGGGAGATATTTTCAACTTGGTAATGTCTCCACTGTGGCCAATACCAACATGTGTTACTTCTCCTTCTTGATATTTCCACACCTTAAAAAGAAACATGAACATTTTACTTTAGGGCTTTGGTTATTTATACATGAATTCCAGTAAGGTCTAATTTCCCCAGACTGTTGGGACATATTTAGAAGGTCA